TTCACCTGATGGTATGCATAGGAATCAGATCGATTACATCTGCAGAAGGAACCGCTGGAGAAGCTCAATATCAGCTGTGAAAACTAGGCCTGGAGCTGATTGTTGAACAGATCACCAACTACTCATATGCAAGTTCAAGCTGAAGCTGAGGAAAATTAAACCCAAGCCAAGACTCCTCTCATTGCTCCAGACCAATAAATGCAGTCACATTGTAACATCAAAAGAGCTTACCAAAATGTACTTCTACTGTATCAATCCTTCTTGTCGAGGGTATTACTTTCCTTCACTTTAAAGCATGATTTTTTCCCCCAAGGACTGTCAAATTGTTTTCCTGTCAAACATTCTTCTAGGTGGTATATCACTGGTCTGTGCGTTGCTGTACAGAGGTAACTTGTGGTTGCTGTGATGCTGAAGACTCTGACCGTGATGTGCCAATCGTGGTAATGGGTACCCATGGTGGACAGTGGAGCTTCCTGACTAAATCAAGCCTGGAAGCAGGAGCGGCATCCACTTCCAAAATGGCTTGCCTCCGGAAACTCTATGTATGAATAGTGCTCAGGCCGTTCATTCATAGGGTCGCTAAGAGTCGTCTACGACTCGACGGCACAAAAGAACAACAACAACCAAGGACTGGTACCTCCTGGTAACATAGTCAATAAACTTAACCTTGTCTGCTCCAGGAGTCAGAAAACCAAGAGGGAAGAACAGGCCCAACATTTCTGAAGCTAAAAAAATCCAAACAATAGTACTTTCAGTTGCTCCATATGCATATGGAAGCTGGGCAATAAAGAAGACCAAAGAAGAATTGAGTCTTTGAGTTGCGTTGTTGGCAAAAACTATCAAATATCCTATGGACTGCCAAAAGAATAAATATGTTTTGGAGGAAGCGTAAGCAGAGTTTCCCTTAGAGGCAAGGATAATGAAACTTTTACCTCAAAAATTTTGAGCGTGTTTCCAGGGGCTGACGGTCTTTAAAAAAGAGACATCATGCTTGGAAAAGTAGAGGATAAACAAAAGAAGTGAAGACTCAATGAGAAAGATTGACATGTTTGTTGTTGTTATGTGCCATCAAGTCGCTTGTGACTCATAGCGACCCTATGTACAACAGCCCTAAACTCTACTCTGTCCTGTGCCAATCTCACTGTCTCTGACACTCCCATCCTGATTATCCCAGTCACTGAATCAATCCACCTCATAGAGGGCCTTCCCCTCCTGCATTGTCCCTCCACCATCCCAAG